AACGAAACAGTCTTTTATACTGTTACGACAGCGGAAGTCACGTGACACTGGTACCACGTAATGAGTCTCTCGAACGTTCCTGAAGGCTCGAGTGTTTGCCAGACGCCCTCTATTTTGTATATATAAGACCGGCGAGAAGTGACGGGATAGATAACTGAATAGCAGACATGGAGATAGAGACAGATAATACAGTCAAGCCGTAAGTAAAGTGTGTAAATCGTTGTGATTTATAGCGTGTGTTTAAGTTAAAGTGACTGTGGAAATTAAATGTATCGCAAAGTTGAGTTGAGAAAGAATAAACTAGTTTTATTTAAGAAAGGACTTGTATCGCTGAAGTTCCTCGGGAAGAATATTTACGAAGAATATTATTTTGCTCTCTATAAAATCGTTATTGCTTAATATATAGCTGTATAGTCTCTTCCAATGGTATATTGGTGTAGAGTGATTCGAAGTTAGAAGTTGCACAGTGATCATTACTATTAAACTTCACTTGCTGAATATCTTGACAAAACTGTCATTAAAGTACATTCATTTATAATAAATTTCTTAAGAATATGTACTAAAAATCCAACCAAAGCTGTTTATATTTATCGTGCTGGAATATTCGCATCAGTCGTCTTTTGTTTTAGGCTTTAAATGAGTATTATCTTCGTCATGATTATATTCTTGTAATACATTTATCACTTTTACCTTTTCGTTGTGATAATTTAATTGCATGTCAGACGATACGTGAGAACACATTGTTGTTATTTTAAATTACATCAGCCGATTTGTTCTGTTAAGGCTGGGCTTGTTTTCTGTAGAGTGTCTACTTCTTGATAAAGCCGTTAAGTGAAATGTTGAGGAATACACTAGATACTGGCGGTTTCTCTTCATAAACCACGTTTACACTCCGGAGGGCACTACTCTACCTGAACAACAACGATCACATATAAAAATACTACTTACATTGTATGCCTGACGTATTTGAGTAACAACTATCATATATAAAACATGTCTTATACTGCATGCCTGATGCATTTCAACAACACCGATCATATATATATTACTGTTACGTCGCTGGTCGATTATTAATTTCCTGTAAAAATTCTTTCAGAAGAACTTCAGCGATACAAGTACTTTCTGAAATAAAACTAGTTTATTCTTTCTCAATACAACTT